CTCATAGAGAATAAGGAGCCCTTCTGTCCATGCAGTGGGCCAGGGAAGGCTTGCCATTCTGTGGTTGATGGGCTATTTGATGTAGGAAAATATACAGGAAAGCCTTCCCCTCCTGGCCCAGGGGATCTGGGGATGAAAGAGGAGAGAGAGGCAGAAGGGCCAGGCACCTAGAGATGGATCTGGGAAGCGCCATGTGACACTTTGCTCAGGGAGCCACCCAGGGCTTTGGAGGGAGCCCAGCAACAGCCTAACCCCTGATCACTACCCGAGGTTCAACATCCCTAGGCTTTCTCTGGAAGGAAGTGGAGCTTTCGCTGAGAAAAAGGTACCTGAGAAGAGATGCAGGACCTGTGGTAGCTTCCTAAAGCCTTCCACCCACTAGATCCCGGGACCCCTCTTCCCCAAGGCCATGAGGTCACAGGGATCCCCCAGCCCCATTTACTCAGGGAGCAGAGCAGACGAGATGGAGACTTTCTGTGCAACTGAGCATTCGTATGCCAAAGAGACTGAGAATTCTTTCGAGGGACTATTTATTACATCGGACTACATTGTAATCCAGAATGGACTAAAATGACAGTTGTTTTCCCATTACCCTGGGGTTGGGCCTTGTAAGGAAGACAACAGCAGTAAAAAAGCAAACAAGGTACAATGTCAGTTTGTCTCTCGGGAACAGGTTGCTTGTACAGGCCTGTGTGCTTTGGGAAAGTCTAAGACTTTCTTTATCTGTTAAATGGGGATGAATAATAATTCCCATCTCAATAGCTTCATCGAGATCGGTTAGATCACACTTAGATGACCGGTGGCATAAACATTCCCCGTCTACTTTGGAAATTCAATTAGTATATTTCTTGCCGGTGCCTGGGGAGAGCCATGAAAGAGGCGCAGCAGGACAGAGAGCCCTCGGCCTGGGGCCAGCTCCCAATAGCCATAATCTTCTGCATGGGAGAGTTGAACACACACCCATCCAGCCTGCAGCCGGTGATCGGAGGTGGTCGCCTGCTTCTTACCTCTCTGCAAGTTCGCATGCCAGAGAGAAAACACACATGAGGAGCTAAGGGTACTGGAGCCTGGGCCTGCAGAGCTGCTCTTGCCCTTTCAAAGACCACCTTTGGCATCTGTTCCGCTCTAAGTGAGTTCTGAGCCCCAAAGAGCCTGCGTGGCTGCTTGCTGATACCCCTGCTGCACAAAGCATGCCAGCAAAGCAGGGTTGAGCCGTGTTTGCAAGAGCTTGTTGGAGGCTGAGCTAGAGTCTTGGCTCCCTGGTCCTCATTCAGCCTCCATGCCCTGGTAAGAGTATATTATTTTCTTAGCTCAAATTGCCGTTTCCAAGTCATTATTTCTCTACGATGAGAAAACAATATTGGTTCTTATGTAATATCAACCTCAATGAATCTGGAAGTGATCATGGAATGGGTGGATTTTTTTCCTCCTTAAAAAGGAGAAAAATAAATTTGAGATTGTTTGCATATGGCTGAGAATATTTATGAACTATTCCCCTTGCTTCCTCATCACATATTTTACCCAGCGCATTTGTGTGTGGTACAGAATAAATCTTTACAGGAAGGGCGGGCGGAGAGGGGCAGAAAGCAGTTAAAGGAATGGGTGCCCGTCAAGCGCCTGGGACGTGGTTGGTCCCAGGTCTCAGGGTCCCCTGGCCTCAGGCTTTACTTGCTGTGGTCTGAGGGTTACCCCATCCTGCTACTCAGAGGAAGTCTTTGGGAGGGAAGGTTCCAAATGCGAACACTGAAGGATTACCATCTACTTGTCGCTCTGGTTTCTCTTCTGTCCCCCTCTCTCTTACCAGAAAGGTCAACGCCAGTGCTTTCATGACCTGGGTGCCGTCAGCCAAAAGAGATAATTAAATTCTACGGATGCCAGATTGAACCAGGGTCAGAGGAGTAAGTTGGCAGGTAGGAGGGAAAAGAACTGGCAGAGAATGTATTGGTGCTGGCATCTGGTATTCGATAATGATTGGAAGTGTGTTAGCACAGACATGTTGCATCTGTTTCCCTCTGGCCGTTCCTCTCACACGGCTTGTCACCAAGAGGGTCCCGGTGGAGTGTAAGGGACCGGGCTGTGGCTGTACATTAAATCAGGAAGAGAAGCAAAGCTCGAGGCTGTTGATTCTCTTCCCCAGGGACTGGGCCTCAGAACTGGAGCTTCTCAGAATCTCTCATGGTCTGCCGCACCTTGGATTTTTGAGGAATGTGCTGGCGGAGAGGTGGGGTCAGGGACGGAGCGCAGATGGCTGCCATATTTGGTACTGCAATAGCAATAGCGGTCATTAACTGCTGTCCTGGCAGGGGGCAGACGTGGTGTGAGGCACGTTTCCCTGCGTAATCTGAGTTAGTCCTCACCATGGCGTTACGTAGATTAGGGATCTTCCTCTCAGTTGACGTGAGAAAACGGAACCTCAGTGAAGTTGAGGAACTTGCCCAAGGTCACACTTCTTCGTAAGTTCCAGGATCGAGGATGTTCCCAAGATTTGTGGGGTCTGAAGCCAATGGAATGAGTACAAATAAGGGATTTTTAAAAATCAAGTTAAGGCCTTGGAAGGGCCCCGTGCGATTAAGGGAACCCAAGCTTTAAACTCAGCAGCGTCGCGGTAGATACACCCTGGGCAGGGTCAAAATTTAAACACAGGATTAGCTCCAGGCCACGTGGCCCCTTCCCTGCTCCTTGGTCTCCCCTTCTTTCTACCATGATTACCACCAACTCTCCCCTGCCCTTCACACGCCTGATCAAAAACACACAAACTCCAGTGATAAGTCTGAGGATATCCTCAGAATATGCCCACTTTGTAGGTTACATGCATGTCGGTCACAGCATAGGGCAACAGCCATGCCCACTGCTGGACTTTATTCTTCCACCTCCAGAGCTCATGGAGACATAGTTGACATTTATCCAGAACTGCGCTCCCAGGGAGCTCCAGTTGCTGTTCTAGGCTTCTTTTGCCAAATGTCATGATAGTTCCCACACCGGGCAATTTGGGCACAGACTTATACAGTGGCCTGCTCAAGTCTCCAACAGGCGTTTTAGAATTACAGTCAGCAGCGTTTCATTTCCCATCATATGTCCCTTTCCCTTGGACTGCTATCCATTGGTCAGATTTCAGCAAATACTCCTCTACTTGACATTTCCTTTCTCCGTTAAAATCACGATTTTGTCAGAATCTCCATCACTGAAAGGGGTGGAGGGATTTAAGGAAGCAAACAAACCCAATATAGATCACAAGTGCTTCGGTGGGGGCAGGGAGCACACTAACTATTGTTCAGTACCCATCCTCTGCTACTGCCCATGAATAGGCTTGCAGTCTCGTCCTGGTCCAGACAGTTACTAAGGAGAATACAAGCGTTTTTTTTCCCAGCCCTGCTCCCTGTGTTCTCCCAAACTGGAAACACAAAGCAGATGATCAAGTACAAGTTCAAATGCCACACCAGGGAGAAGGAAGTATTGAGAAACGACCTCCAACCTCCAGCCTGTTTTCGAACATTCCAGTAAGCGTTCAAATGATTTATCTTGGGCTGGTGTCATTTCATTGTCTCAAACAAAGGCCTTCTATGAAAAGACAGACTTGGGCTTTCGTGAGGGAGGAGTGGCTAACAGAAAGCACATTTGGGAAAAAGTAAATTAAGAGTCAGTCTTCTGGGTTCTTCCTCCAGAGGCAGTATCCCCCTTTCATCTGCTAGAATTAGCATCAGGACTGACTCCCATTATCTCAGCATCATACTCCATACCAGGAATGGGGGGGGCGGGAAGCAGCCTTGGGGATGGGTGATGACACAGGTGCAGTGGCTGGTGACCCGACCAGCTCTCTCCTGCACCTCGGTCCTCTGAGTTTACGTGGCCAGTGTTCTGTGCCTGGAATGGACTGTGAGGTTCTGAATGGAATGGTTCTGAGTGATGGTGACTTTGAATTTTTTTTTTTTTTTTTGGATATTTTGTTCTGCTCTTGTGTCTATGTGAGTTATTGGACGGGAAATTATTGGGGCAGGACTGTCAAAGTCTTCTGCCACATTATCTTCCTTTGGATGTTTGTTCTTTGAGCTGTGTCCTTGACAGGTTCCCATGCAGCTGTGATTGTGCATTTCTGGTGGGGCCCTCTGTTTGGTGCACTGGCCCTTCCATTTTGGACATTCCTGGTTTTTAGAACAAACTTCTCTAGATGAAACTGAAGTATGGCTTTCTGGTATGTGTTGGTCCTCAACACCAAACGGGGTGGCTTACTTTCCTATGTCAGGTCTTTCTGCAAACCTTGTCTCCTCAGGTTGGGTTAGTTAGTGCTTCCGTGGTTAATGCTTCCACAATGTCTAGTGCATATCTCTGTCCTGGGACTTGGAAGCAGCTGTTATTTACTTGGTCACTAGCCCTTTCTTTCTACAAAATTATTATGTGGGTTGATTGTGGAATATTGGCAAAACATAGAGAAGCAAAATAGAAAATGAAAGTTGACTGTCTTTATTATATCTATTGGAGATAAGCACTCTAAAAACTCTGATATATAGCCTAATGGTTGTATTTCTATATTTATGTTGTTTCTAAAAACAATTAGCTAGTATACATTGCTTGGTTAAAGTCGGCTCTTTCAGGGGCGCCTGCGTAGCTCATTAGGTTGAGTGTCCAACTTGGCTCAGGTAGTGATCTCATGGGTCATGAATTCGAGCCCCGCATCGGGGTCAGTGATGTCAGCACAGAACCAGCTTTGGATCCCCCGTCTCCCCCTTTCTTTCTGCCCCTCCCCAACTTGCACCAATCTCTCTCAAAAATAAATATTAAAAAGGTTTTTATTTTAATAAAAAAAAGTCTGCTTTTGCAACCCACTGAGTCCTCTTCCACTGCATTGTGTTAATGACTGCCAGGTATTCTGTGGTGTGTGGGGGACTGGCAGTGTGATAGGGGGGACAGAATTCGAAATGAGCTACTCTACTCTGAAGATTCTGTGGTTGTTTCCAGTGGCTGGAACATTAGCTAAAAATACTTCTTCTGCTGTTTCATGCCAGCGCTTGAGAAAGGCCTGACCAAGGCCCTGAAGAAACTGGATGACTACCTGAACAGCCCTCTTCCAGAGGAGATCGACGCCAACACTTGCGGGGACGAAGACAAGAAGTCCCGGCGCAAATTCCTCGACGGGGACGAGCTGACCCTAGCCGACTGCAATCTGTTGCCCAAACTCCATGTGGTCAAGGTAAAGACACCTCTACCTGCAGGTTGCTCGCTCTATCCAAGTCTATCATAGGCCCGGTCACTTGTGTGGATGAGTCAAGGACAGCACCCACCTGCTGGTCCAGAGCTTGGGCTCTGAAGTCACATGAATAGGAAGGAACCCGAGTCAGCTTCCACTGTTTGGCTCTATAGACTCTCTTGAGTGTCAGTAAAATAGGCATGTATTACTTCCTCCTTATTCTTATTCTTGCTTCTTGGCTGGGAGGGTAAATATGGTGTGACAGTACCTGGCATATTGTAAAGGTTCAATACATAGTAGCTGATTGGCATATCATGTATGAGAGAGAGACACAGAGAGAGAGAGAAAGCGTGCGCTTCTTCCTTGTCTCTCTCCCTCATAGGTTTTCATTGGCCACACCCCCACATCTCTCTGAAGTTGCTTCACATGCAAGCCTTCTCATTCCCTTTAGTAACTCCCTAGGGCAGATGTGTATCCTCTTCCTCATTTATCAGTTGAAGAGCTGGAGGCTGTAAGAAGTGACATCATTTTCTTGCCATGGTTGCACTCACTGATCAACCTCAACATGCCATGTAATCTTGTCCTATAAGAATCCGAGCATCGGAGAGTTGGAAAGAAGGGAATTCTAAGGTCATCCAAAACTATCTCCCACCCTAAACAGGACCACTTTCTGTGTGTCTGTGCCACACAGCTGTCATTGCACCTTTCTGATGAAGAAGAGCCCCTCCTACCCCCCCCCCCCCGCCTCAGTCAGCCCTATCACTCTGGACAGCTCTGATTATTAAAACATCCTTCCTTATATTGAGCCCAGTCAGCCTCCAGGCCACCCCTTGTACTCTGGAGCAGCATGGAATGGGACTGCTCTGTTTCATCTCATTTGAAGACAACAGTTGTGTGCCCAACATTCACTCTCTAAACCAACGCTTCTTCTTACTTCCTTTCCTGGCCCTCACCAGCCTAGAGAAACACACAGTGGGATCATACAGCTACACTGTCCTCTACTTTTATAAGTACTTATATCCTACATCTCAGGCAGTAAGCTCTTCGAAGATAGTGGCTTCTCTAAGCATGATGGTGGGTGGGTTCATGGTGGCCCTTTCACTCATTGATTGACCATCTGATCACTTAGCTTGTGACTTTATCATACCCTATTTCCTTCTACCCTTCCCTAAGAAGAATCAGATTCAATTATTTATCAGCTGGCTATCTGCCTATCATGTTTCAGCTCAAGTCCTAAGCTAGTAATGTGGGCTTTCTTCCAATCAGAGCACAACCAGCTTGAATTGAAACCTTAGCTGGTTAAGCACTGGTGTTACCAAGGGACTTGGTCAGAGCTGGAGACTGGGCGGGAATCATGGGTGCCATTACTGATGGGCTGGGAAAATGCAGTCTATTAACATGAAGGAACTTTGGGTTCGGGGCCAAGCCAATGGTTACTTGTAAGTCTGGCCAAGCTACATGTCTTTGAAGTTATTAATTACTGCGTGTCCCTCCACAGCCCTGGAAACCTCTTTTTTTCTCTTTTCCTGAGGAACAAGTGGCACCACTAGGGATGGTGTGTTTCCAGTTGAGCCACACTGTGTCAGGGTGATGTCACGGAAAGACCCTCATTCAGAAAGTCATGAGATCCGCATAATAGTCCTGACAGCATGAGCTGGGGAGAGTCATTTAATCTTATGGAATTCTTTTTTCTCATGCCCCAGTGAAGAGATGGGAAGTGTATTCCTTCTTGCCTCTTTCTTCTCTCTTCCTTCATTCCTTCTTTCTTCTGTCTTACCCACTCAAGAATCTCTTGTCGAATAAGGCAAACAAATAGATCCCCCAGGCCCTGTGCCTCATCCTATGACTCCTCCGGGTCCTCCCAGCCCTAAAAGACAATGCTATGCCCTTGTCCGTGGAGGAGCTGGGGATCAGAGAGTGGGGGATGGTGGCCTCCGAGGGGACAAGGCTGGGTCTCACCTTCTGTCTCCTTGGATTTCTGCTGATCCAGCTTATCAGATCCCAGAGACCTGGCAAACCCCCGACATGAAGAGTGAAGGGGGAGCCAAGTCAGGCTTCCAGTTTGGCTTCTGATGCCAAAACCTAATCTGGGCTGTGGGAGCTAACTGTTTTCATATGAAAGAGCAAATTCAGAACATGAGCACGGAAGTTCCTGTGAACGTCAGCGCTCCGCGTGTGCATCCTCGCCTGCGATCTCTCTCTTTCTCACACGCTCTCCCTCTCTATCCCTCTCTTGCCTGGCCCTCGTTCAGGTTCATCTTCATTCGGCCTGAGAGCCTGGTTTGAACTCTCGCTGTCTGGCTCCCTTCAAGTCCTTGGCTCCTCAAGTCAAACCAACATGCGAGGAAACAACTGGCTTCATGGCCAAGGCCCAGGGCATGCAGATCTGGGCAGGGAGGGGGCATGGTGGGCCTTCTCTCAGGGCCACTGGGACCCCTGCCTAGCACAGTGACCTGCTTCAGCCCCTGAAGCAAAACAGGAAGGGAGACATAAACACAAGTCTATATCCATACATTGCTTTTCTGCCATTTTAAATCCCATATTGTATCCTTTAAAAATGAAAACAAGTGCCAGCACAGAGGGACTAGAGGCCACTCTGACCCCCCATTCTGTGTGGATGTGCTCTTCCCTGGGCAGCTTCTTCTTATAGGCTCTTGGGCAAGCCCAAGGGACCCTCACCCTGCAGCGAACAGGGGAAGGCCAAGGTGAAAGGCAATGTCTGTCAGCCCCAGCATGTGCTTATAGTGGGTGCTCTGCCAAAGGATTCAGATTTCACCCCCTTTGCTTATTAGCCACACCTAAGCCGGACAGACATTGTGGGGCAGGCTTCTTCAGTAACCACACCAGACCAGGTATCTTAACCATTTTTCATTTTAGAGAGAGAGATGAGCAGGGGAGAGGGGCAGAGAGAGAAAGAGAGAGAGAGGATCTTAAGCAGGATCCACACTCAGCGCAGAGCCCGACGTAGGACTCGATGCCACAATCCTGGGATCTTGACCTGAGCCCAAATCAAGAGTGGGATGTTCAACCCGACTGAGCCGCCCAGGCACCCCACCGAAAGAATTTAATAGAGAGAAGCACTAAGTGCTGAAGACCTGGGACGACGAAGTGTACCATGACCTTCCACCTGGATGAGGTAGCTAGAGCCTCCAGGGCAGCAGAGGTGAACTGAAAAGATCAGAATTGTCTAAACTTAGAAACTTAGATGAGGAACCCCTTCGCAGCTGAACCTTGGACCTCAAAGGACTCGATGGGGTGCTGCTGAGCAGGCACTTGGGGGCAGAATTCAGAGGACAGCCCAGAGGGGTCACTGTCGTGTGCTGGCCGCTCTCAGATGGTGTGTTGCACTGGTTCCGCTAGTGTAGGCAAAACAAGAAAACTGAAGTCAGCGGTCACTGCTGGAGCAAAGGGGACCCGGAGAGGAACAGAATGCCCTGGGAAAGGAAGGGACATCCCTTCTTGCTCCTCCAGGCTCGCAGGCTCTCTCTCTCTCTAGCGCCCCCTCGTGGCAGAGCCTAACAGGGAATCACTGGCAAAGTAGAGATGTGGTTTGCAGAGCCCCCGCCCCAGTGGGCACAGAAGGGATTCTGAGTACAGCGGGTCCTTTATCGTTTGCACAGGGCTGGGTGGCCACGTGGGGAGGACCGCAGAATAGAAGGGAAGGAATCTAGTCAGTGATATGGTAATAGCGTCCTGTGGTGATAAATGGGGGCTGCACTACCCCTGTGCACAGCACAGCATATAAATTGTCTGCATCCAACTTTGTACACGTGCAGCTAATGTAACCTTATGGGTCAACTACACTCAAAAAAAAAAAAAAAAGAAGAAGAAGAAAAGCAAGAACTGTAATAAATATTAGTGATTACTCAGTAGATATTGGTTGAATTAAAAATTTCCCATGTAACACTGTGTAAGCCATTTAATCTCTTGTGGCTTCAGTTTACTCATTGCTGAGGATCTCCAGTTTTCAAAAGTGAGTTTCCTATATTTGACTCTAAGAGATGCACTTTGATTTGGGATAACTGAGGATAGCAAAGATTCAGTCAGTGCAGCTGTTTATGGAATCCTTACTTAACTTCCCTTTGCCTTACTTTCCACATCTGTAAAATGGGAGTATAAGACACTCTTCCTTATAGAGTTATTTAGAGATTTAAGTAGCTTGCAAAAAGTGCTTAAGGCGGAGCCTGGAGCAGGGCTCAAAGGAAATAAATACTTGCTGGTGTCACCACTCTTAGAAACCGTGTCATTGAGATTGTCAGGTGGTAAAGAAATGAAAAGCTGTGCTTCCTGCCTCATCCTGCTCACAAAGCTAGAGAAGAGAGAGAGGATACTAGAACAGTAACTGCAATTCAGAATAGAATAGAGCTTAGTACGTAACGGAATTTCCAGACTGATGTAGGAGAATAGAGGGGACGGAATGCATGCTCCTTGGGAACGTGGCCAAATCGATGAGGCTGAGCTTTTCATGCGATAGGCCGTCGTTGCCCTCACTCGGCACAGCTCTCCAGGCGACCCTGAGCCTCATGGGCATCAACATAAAGATGAAAGTCCAGAGTAGCTGAACTGAGCGGGGAGGGGTTCTCTGAGTGGGAGGATCCCATGGTCAGCAGTCTAATGACCTCTTTAAAAAGAAAGCAAGGAAAGGAGTCGGAAGTCGGGGCCTTAGGAAGGAGGTTTTTCTTCACTGCTCCCACCATAGCCCCAGAGGGTTAGAGGCAAGGCCAGCTAATTAATGTGCAGGCCCCAGTGTACAGTGATAGTAAAGGGGGCCCTGTTAAAAGAAAGTACTCAGAATTTGCAGACAGTGACAGCAGAGCTTTAAACCAAGAACAGGCTTCTCTGAGTTCGAGGCTCCATGTAACTACCCAGGTCACCCTCCTCCAAGACCACCCTACCTTATCTATGATTGCATGCAAACGGGCAAAAGATGGGTCTCCATGAATTATAAGAGGAGGTGATGTTTCTCAAGCACTCAGTATGAGCCAGGCACCCCTCTAAACATTTTATGTGTATTAACTAATTTGTTATTCCTGGGAGGGTCCTATTTGTTGTCTTCATTTGAGAGATAAAGAAATTGGAGCTCAGAGAGGCTAAGTAAGTAGTCCAGGGTCACACAGCTCTTAAGTAGTGGAGTAAGAATTGCAGATCAGTTCAGCTGGGATCCAGAGCCCATGCTTTTAATCTATGTGCAACACCGCTTCCCCAGAATGCCCATACATAGCCTTCTCCCCACTGTGTGGCAAAATATAGAGAGAATACAAATCACTGTTTGTTCACTCACACTCAAGAACTGTTCGTATCTTGAACCTGCCTGTACATTCCAACATCTAATTTATATGTGTTATGCTTTTTTCTCTCTCCTAAAAATATGGGTGTTTATGTAAAACAAAGCAGGTAACAGGAAAAAATTTATAGCTCTATCAGTCAGACATAACCACTGATAACATTTTGGTATTTCTACTTCTAAGTCCTCACACAGATTTCTCCAAATGCATTATACTGCACCTTTTAAAATTTTTATTTATTTGCTAATGTTTTATACTGCACTTTATTTTTTAAAAATTTTTTAATGTTTGTTTTTAAGAGAGAGACACAGAGGGCAAGTGGGGAAGGGGCAGAGAGAGAAAGGGAGACAGAATCCGGAGCCGGCTCCAAGCTCTAAGCTGTCAGCACAGAGCCTGATGCGGGGCTCAAATTCATGAACTGCCAGATCATGACCTGAGCCGAATTCGGAAGCTTAACTGACTCAGCCGTCTAGGTCCCCCAGCAGCACCGGTTGTAACGTCCAGTCCAGTATGGTGCTGTATTTACATGTGATAATGTATTTATCCATTTATGTATTGCTGGACATTTGTGTTCTATACCTTTTTTTTTTTTTAACTATTAGTTCCATGATCATATATATGTAGCTAAAACTATGTATACATAGGTGATTATTTCCTAAGGGAACACCCCTAGAAGCAGAATGACGAGGTCAAAGGGCAACCGATATTTACTGAAGAAATAAACAAGATTCGATAAGATGACAGGAAGGCAGCACTGCCAGCTTGGGTTGCAAACATTTTGCTGACCGCCCCCGTTTTGTCTGCTGGCTTTCCTCCCAACGCACATGGTGGGTCTCCCCACTTCTTGCCCCCCCGGTGATTGGTTTCGGGCCCTCACGCCATCCCCATCCTGCCATCTTTTGTTGTAGATTGTGGCCAAGAAGTACCGCAACTACGATTTCCCGGCTGAGATGACAGGCCTGTCGCGGTACCTCAAGAATGCCTATGCCCGCGATGAGTTCACCAACACGTGCGCGGCAGACCAGGAGATCGAGTCGGCCTACGCGGATGTCGCCAAGCGCCTCAGCCGGTCCTGAGCTCGGCCGCCTTGCCCCGCCGCTGCCGCAGAAGGACTCCGCTTCTCCCAAAGGACTCCGGCCTCACCCACTCCTCTTCCGCGTCACCTCGGGACACACCTTTTTGTAGCCCGCCACATCTTGCTGGCCTCATGGAATTCCAGCCTGCTGTCGCTTAGGAAGGTCAGCGCCAACCCCATCTGATCGTGCAGGAATCTGCAAGCAAGAATGTTAGAAATAGTCAAGCTCTCAACCTTTGGGCCTGACCCGAGTTCAGTGTGTTTGGGGTCAGTGTGGGGACAGCCCGTGTGAGGGACTGTCACTGCCCCCCTCTGCCAAGATCAGAGTCTCTCCTCAGCTGCATTAGGAAACCGCGACACTGTGTCCCCCTCCGCCTTGCTCTTCGTTGGTAGCTCCACCGCCAAGGACAGACGCCATCATCGTTCTTACTAGAAAGAGATCCCCGCGTTTGGGGGAGATGGAGAGAGTGGGGGACAGGCAGGCTATGGGTTTGGCATGTGGCAGACACACCTTCAGTCCCTCACGGCGTCCTGACGCCTGCTGTCACACTGGGCACCGAGGACCAGGTTGGAAAACCACTTCAGATGTAGTCCCAGTCTGCGGCATCGCAGTGCCCTCGGGTATCTGGCTGACACCAGCCTCTGTTTTTACACCGTCCAGGCCTTTTGAGGAAGGGAAATTGGCAAGCAGTTGCAAACAGGAGTGACTGGGAAGGGCTGGATGAGCAGCATCAATGCCAAAAGGCCACGGGGTCTGCCAGCCACGGATTTTGCTTGCTAGGGGTAGCTGTTTTGGTGGAGATTACGTTTGACCCGTGAGTGAATTTTGGTCTTCGAGACAGCAGGGGGGAGGTGGGGGGATGGGTGAAGATAAAGAAATTCTTTATCCCTGGCGATCTTTCAGACAGGTCTTCTCTCTTATGATCCCCCTAAGTCTTGAACTGCCGATGTTATATATCACTACCAACCTTAGAGCAAAAAAATCCCGTAAGAATTGGCCAAACAGGACTTTCCAGTCTCTTCAAGTCAGTCCCGGAGGCGGGTCTTGGGTCTGCTAGCTGGGGCGCTCCTGGCTGAGCCAGCCGCGGCCCCTGACCCATGACAGGTACATTTGGGATGTGGCCTGACCATGGAACACCTTAGGAAGAAAGGCCATGGGCCTTTCTGACTGGGAAACCATGTGGTGTGACCTTGAAGAAAAACATGTGCCCCATCTGGGCTACTTTTCCCGCCATCTGACTCACCTACCAGATGAAAAAGGAAATGTTTTAGCTGGTATTTCAGTCCTCCGTCTTTCTCCTCGCGTTTCACCTCCTTCGAAGCTCACCTGGTTGGAGCCTGGGGGCCTGGGCAGGGGAAACTAAGGAAAATGGGCTAATCATCATGCCCCTGGCCCTATGAGAAAAGCCACCTCTCACAAGATAAGGCTCCCAAGTGCCAGAGAGCCCCGGGGCCTGGCTTGTTGCTCCAGAAGGGCGTCAGGACAGCACGGGCCTTCCTTTCCAGGGAGGTATCCATGACCCGGCAAGCCCCAGACCCACCTGCCTCCAGGGAGTTCTGAAGAACAAAGGTGGCCCGCAGATCCGAGCTCTGGCCAGGAAGCGGGGGCCCCCTTAGCCCACTGAAAGAGAGGACATTTCTCAGTAGGACATTTTTATTAGCCTGAGCGCTTTGCAAGGGCAGAAGAGTTGATTCATTTCCACCCCTAAAGGAACCTTCCCTGGGACTCCCTGGGAACTTAGTCCCTAGACATGTTTAAAAAAGAGAATGGTGAGGAAATGGCCCTTTTTACTATACAGAAAAGCCCCAGACGGGTCTCTTGGGAGATGAAGTCTTAAAATGATCCCAGGAGACATTTAATTAGCATAAATCCTGTTGTCCTCAGAAAGCCCTCCCTGAGGTTAGCAACAGAGGCGTGATGACCTGAGAGGCAGTTGGCTTTCCAGAGACCCACAGTGGTGCTGTTCTAGAAGCAGGTCGGTGTTAGCGCGGCTAGCGCGACAGAGAAAACAGGCCACCCGGCTGGGACAGCTCCCCACGCGAGTTCTCCGATGCTAATGACTGGTCTGATAGTCAGAATCCAGCCATTGGTGAGTCTTTAAAATCAAACAAGCCAAACCAAATCAGCATTGTTGTTTCTAGATGTTCCTTCTGTGGTTGACTTAGTTTTACATAAATATTAAGGCACAAGGGCGGGGGCAGTTACACGATCACTTACAAGCATTTAAAACAGGGGACAGAGTTATAGATGGAAAGCACTTCTGAGTACTTGATTCAGGAATATCTTTTTATTTCAACAGTCAATTACTATATAATGTAACACTATTGACTGAGAGTTTTAATGTCTTAGGACCAGATTTATTGGAATATTTTTAAGTAACAATTAATATTATCTTCTGATTATTTTTTTCCAAAGGAGATTTGTCTCCAGATTCTTCAGCCCTCCTGAGCTTTGGCTATAACCTTGTTAGATACACAGCAAATCATCTTCCAGCGTCAGTATGGTAAGGTCCTTAGGTGTCTCCAAACCCAACTCTGGAAGTAGTTTGGACTACTACTACCAAGGTTTGCAGATTAGACTCCAGAGTTTTAAGACAGGAGGTCACCCTTGTCATCGGTCTTGAATGAATATTGATCCTTCAGAAAGCATTTCAGTGGCGTTTGAAAAGGTTTGGGATGAGATCTTATTCTGTTTTAGATTTATTTTCCTCCTTCGATTTTCATGTCACTATTTTATTTGATTGTTAAAGGATAGCATGGTGGGAGGCAGAGACAGAAAGGAGAATTCCCAACTCAGAGTAACTGGGTAGAATTTACCCATCTATCAGGTGGGGCTGCATCTCAGGATGGCCCAGAGAGAAAGTATTGGAAAAGATTTTAATAACCTTATAAGAGGAGTTGGATAATGAAAAGCTTGATTGTTCTAGAGCGTGGTTCCTTCTACTGTGTGTCTTAATCTCCTGATAAGGGAACTCAAAGGCCTGGACAGTTCAGAATCACCGGTTGTGAAAAGTGAAAAACACTTTTATTTGGTCATAACAATCTGAGATTGGTTTCAGCTTCCTGGCAAATGCCACTGTTTGGTGTTCACATCTTCTGCTGGTGGGGCCAGCAAGGATGTCGGTCTTTTCATTAGAAAAAGGCTTCACCAAGAGTGAAGTTCCCTGAGCTGTACATGCGAGAATTTATCAAATGAAACAACGGAAGCTTTTCACGACCCCTGTGCCCACTGGCCACTCTGCAGATAGACACCACCAGCGTCTTCAAATTGTTGCAAAATAGATCAAGCCTGGAACAGACCCTGAAGATCTAAGAATCCCAGGAGGCCTAGACAAATAGAATTAAAAAGAGGGACAGAGTCAGGAGGGTATGGGTCTACATAGTTATTCATAGAGACAAACCGCCGAAGTCTGTGTCTAAAAATCAATTGGTCTAGAGGCAAGAGGCATCCAGTAGGTATATCTGACTCACCACTACTACCAGAGGCTAGGAGCCATTTTGATAGAGTGAATCAAGGTGTGGTGTCTCTCTCCTTGGAAAGTGACATAGTATTAAGTCATTATTGAAACTAAGTTCATTGATTCCCAAGGGATCACTTCCTTCATTTTTGACAATGCCATTGAAAAGAATTGTAAGCATTAGAGAAAGAAGTATGCATGTGGAGCATCCTAAATCCCAACATTTTTGGGCTTGGAGCCCTTTCTGCACACAAAACCGTTGTCTTCTATCCAGTGCTTTTTAGCAGCAAACCAAGGAACACGTGCCCCCTTGATGAATGCATATTCCTCTACCTTTGCCAATATTCTTCTTCCAGCTTAGTTTCAGCATTAGGTATGATCCAAATAAAAGTGTGCATAATTTTATTTCAGGTCACTTGAAGAATTAGATCCAATGTTCCCCTTACCAAACAAAAATAAAATGAAAGGTTGCCTCATGATAGGGTTTGGGCTAATCTGTGTTTCGATAACAGCAACCTGATTTTTTTTCAAACATAGTTTTAAGGATCCAATTGTCTAAGATATTTTATGTATAGTTAGAGTTTTCGTAATCTTGATTACGCCTATACTTAAAATATACGATATCCAGCTGATGTTTAAATTTGTCTTCCCTTCCTGATTTCCTGTTTTTCCCATTGGAAAAGCCAGGGTTTAACTAATTTAGCAAAGGATGCCTGGCTTTTATAGAAGAACAAACATCTCATTTTAGAAAGACACTCCAAATCATGGTCACTTGCTTTTCTCAAGACCTTGAACTGTGGTGATAAAATAGCAGGACATGCTTTCAAGCCTTAATAAATATAAGTTGCCTTTTAATGAAGATCTTGCTGAATGTTTTCTTCATGAATCTGAAGCTGTTATAAAGTTGGTTTCCAGTTTTGATTGGTATTGACTGATTCAAATAAAGTTGGTTTATTTTCAAATATTTACAAAAGTGATCCTCAGACTGCTTATTTCCTCTGCTGTTTTAAATGACAATTGTGAAGTAAAAGTAAAAGACTCTTTTCTTTTTTTCCCCAAAAAAAGGTTATTCTGTTTTCCTATTACAAAAGAATATGTTGTTTATTCTTAAAAATCAAAAGCAAAGAAAACAAAAAAGAGGAAGAGGAGAAGGAAAAGCAAGAAGCTTGTGACTCAGTCATCCCAAATTCAATTTTTGTTTAACAAGAATGAATTCTGTTCTATTCTATAGAACATGGGCTGGGCCAAGAAATACTCATGTGTTCCTTCATGTTCCTCATTTTAGTTGCCGATCTGTATGGTCATACGTGGGGGTAGGCAAATAGTGACAATCCAAATATGATTTAAGGGGTATTTGAAAGTACTAGTTTACCAAAAAATTAAAATTAAAAAATAAAATAAAGAAATAAAATATAATAAAATAAAAAGAATAGAATAGAATAGAATAGAATAGTATAGTACTGGTCTACCTGCACCCAAAGCTCTCTTGGCCCAGTTACCTAGTCCTGTTCTTGGCCTCTTGGCCCTAATTTCTACCCCTAGAACATCACTGACTCTAGATGAAGGTCCCCAGAGTCTTCAGCAAGTTTGACCTGAAGTCAGCAGTAACATCCACTGGGACCCGTAAGCATTCAGTTTCCTGAGTCTTTCCTGCTCTGTTAGGACAGCCTCTTACCACCTTGGAAGGGAGGTAACACACCCAACTCAAGGAACAAGTCCCAGTGGGAGAGGTGGCCTGTACCTTAGAACTGGTGTAGCAGATGCTGTTGATGGTGTCCCTCCCTCCTGACCATCCGCTGGCTTCCTCTGGCAGGGCTCTGATTGGGTCCGGGGTCTTCCTTCCCACCCCTTCTGACTGCCTACCCTCACAGGACTCAGGTAAATGTGGTTCCAACCCCAGTTCCAGGGGGTGAATCATGAATGGTCTGAGCCTGTCCTGGCTGTGGTTGGCTTCAGAGTGGGTTATTGACCAAGTTACGCCCAGTATTGTGAGAGGAAATTTGTTCAGAAACTTCTAGGGAACGTCTCCTTGTTCTGAAGAAGTGACTCCCTAAGTCTCTGCCTCCGAGGCTGCCTCCAGATGTGGGTTTGAGGCCTGGAAATGCTGCCACCCATGGAGACCAGGAGGGGCGTGCTTCAGGGACTACACTGCATGCTCCCCAAGAATGGAGGCAGCCTGCCTCCCTGATGGGACCACTGAGCAGCTGAATCAGCTGACCCTGCTCCTGGCTCCAACTCTGCACGTCCTTCCTGTTCTATAAAACACCCTAGAGTGTCGAAAGATGTTTGTGTGTTTGCTATTACAGGCAGCCAAAGGCATCTTAAGTGGTGTATTAGCCAAGTTTGTTGTTGTTGCTGTTTTTTGTTTGCTTTTGAAATGTTTATTTATTTGTGGGGGGGAGGGGCAGGGAGAGAGAAAGAGAATCCCAAGCAGGCTCTGCACTGTCAGCACAGAGCCCAACATGGGGCTTGGTCTCATGAACCATGAGACCATGACCTGAGCTGAGATCAAGAGTCAGACGCTTAACCAACTGTTAATTCGTTAAACAACTACTTGTTTGTTTTCAAATTAAGCTTCACACTCAGCATGGAGCCCAACATGGGGCCTGAACTTAGGACTCCAAAGTCAAGACCTGAGCTGAGATCAAGAGTTGAGCTGAGATCAAGAGTCGGACACTTAACTGACTGAGCCACCCAAGCACCCCGCTGTTGTTTTAATAGTTTGACCATCAGATAGCCCAGCCAGAAGGTGTTTTGTGTTTCCATTGTTTGCTGTATAGGTTGACCAAGAGCTGGGAGCATGGGAGACTTCATTGCCCTGCATCTTGGTTTCCTTAATTGCACTGTGATGAAACCAAGGGGCTCATGAGTGGCAGTGCCTATGCCTGGCATTAAGAGGAACCCACTCCTGTTCCAGAGAACCTGCCAAGAAGCGAACTTGGCAAACAAGAGCGTCTCATTATACTTACAAGTGTCATGAGCTGTGTGTCTCTTTCATTTTTATGTCTACTAGCTAAGATCCCCTGAATCCCCAATAAGTTTTACCTTGTAGGAAAAGAACTGGGGTATGAGACTGGAGGAAGCTCAGAGTTGAAAACAGGAAGTCTGAATTCTAATCCCAAATCCATCACTACATTAACTATGTGAACTTTCTGGGCCCATCTGGGCCCATTTCCCCAAGAGGGTTACTAAAGTTCCTTATTTGAGGTGATGGGATCCCTGATGAAGAGTGCTTATAGGTAACAAAGGGTTATTTCAAGTGAAAAGACATTTCAACTGATTGGAAGGTCTCAGTGTGATCTTCTTTAATGGGAAGAAGCTGATCACCAGCAAAGACATAGGTATTTGGAACTGGTGTTTTTTTGGTTTTTTTTTTTTTTTAATGTGTATTTATTTTTGAAGGGGAGGGGTAGAGAGAGGGGAGGACAGAGGATCTGAAGCAGGCTCTGTGCTGACAGCAGGATGCCCAATGTGGGCTCGAATTCAAGAATCATGAGATCATGACCTGAGCAGAAGTCACCAGAGCAAACTCAACCGACTGAGTCACCCAGGCACCCCCTTATCTTTTCTTTTCTTTTAATGTTTTGTTGTTTTTTTTTTTTTGAGAGAGAGAGAAAGGGATCAGGGGAGGGGCAGAGAGAAGGAGGGAGACACAGAATCGAAAGTAGGCTCCAGACTCTGTGCTACCAGCACACGGGGCTGGAACTCACAAGCTGTGAGATCATGATCTGAGCCGAAGACAGACACTCAACCAACTGAGCCACACAGGTGCCCCTCTTTTCTTTTCTTTTAAAGTAAACTTCAGTTGATCTTGGAATCAATTCACATGTATGTCAGTCTCTCCTATCTTTTTAGTTCACATTCCATGAAATCGACATTTACATGCAATAAAATGACCCTAGGGACCTGCAGTTAGCATCATTAAAGCTGCAGAAAATAAAGCAAAACAAATTTTGGTAAGCTTATGGAAATTAAAAAGCAAAGTTTGAGTTTAACCTCCTTTGACTAGGATACCTGGATACCTGGATAACCTCCTTATATCCAAATGAATATGTGACTCAGAGACTGGACCACGCAAGATCCATCATACAAGCATTGTAATGGGGGCCAGCAGAGAATCAAGCGCTCCACCTGTGGAGTGATGCTTGGTTGCATGCCACTGTGTATGTTTGGAATTGTGCCTGTGTGTTAGTCACTCCTCACCACCCCTTCCCCAGTTAAAACTCAAGCTCCTAAAAACAAACAAACAAGCAAAGCAAAACAAAACAAAAACACCCACAACTAAGCTCTTTGAAGGGATAAAGAGCAGGCTATCCAATTTTTGTACAATGCCTCGTCTTGTCTAGCACTCAGCAAATATTATTTGCTCAAAAATATTTATTAGTGGTTAACGGGAGAGGTCATGAGTCAGTATTCTAGGCTTCTGGGTTCACCTCGTAGCTCACTCTTCATTTCCCTGAGTCCCCGACACCCACTGCACCAGAACTCCGAAGCGGGCGTGATAACAGTGAGTCTAGGAGAGAAACAGTCATCTGTGTTGGTTAAATGCACTTCGTATATACTTCCAAACAATGAGCCCCCTAAACTGTCTACACAGCATCTGTTTGTCTGTCTGAGAAGATGAAGAGTTGCCTGGTGTTTGTTGGATGGCACAGGTGCAATTAGGCAGTGGTTGAGCCAGTTCCCCAAGCTGGCCACAAAATTCTGTGTACGTGGGGTGTTATATTTAGAAGAGGACTGGTTGCTTGGGAGTGAAGGTGACTCTGGATACTATGGTTCTGGAATTACCTGGCTAAATACGAATTAAACAAATAAATCTTTTTTCTGGATATATGTTCATTAGAGAAAATTTAGAAAATATGGAGAAGCAAAGAAGTTAACACTTGTAATCCTTCCACCCAGAGATAACCACCCTTTAAAAAAATGTTTTTTAATGTTTATTTATTTTTGACAGAGAGACAGAGTACAAGTAGGGGAGGGGCAGAGAGAGAGAGGGAGACACAGAATCCGAAGCAGGTTCCAGGCCCTGAGCTGTCAGGACAGTGCCCAATGCAGGGCTCGAACTCACAAAGCGTGAGATCATGACCTGAGCTGAAGTCAGACGCTCAACTGACTGAGCCACCCAGACAACCCCAGAGATAACCACCTTGAATGTGTAAATGATTGTCTTCCTATACTTTTTCTAGTGAGATAGAAATACAAACGTGAATATTTTTTTTTAGCAAAAAGAGCTATGACTGAGCTAAAACCAATGAACTTTCCCATCTCCATGATAAACAGTTACGGGTAAAGCACTTTCTCCTGTTTCTCTGCCAAGTAACACTGGGACTAGACAAAAACAGAACAAACTTGTTTCTTGCTTACTTATAGAGACCAGCAGCTCACTCAACAGTATTTGCTTCAATACCTTACCTTACTGTGCCCACCAATCCAAAGGTATTATGTCATCAACGGCCCAATCATAACCAGTGCCTTCCCTGATGAGACCCACCTGATAAGACTCACTGGGCTCCGGCTCTAAAACCCTCTAAATATCCTTCCCCAACTTCCTTCCTCTGAAACACTGCTAAGACTCTATCAAAGAGGTGTTCTTTTTTTTTTTTTTGAAATCAATCTAATAAACGTAACTTGTTAAAATCAAGTTTTTCTAGTGTTTTTTTTTTCTTGTTTGTTTTGCTTTGGTAATTATCAACTTGCATTTTGCATACTATTTTTCAGTGTTGTTTCTTTTTCTCACTCACATATCATGAACATCTTTCCAGGTCCCTTTTCTATAACATCTGTAACATCATTCTTATGTATTGTAATCCATTTAACCAGCTGCCTATTATTTGGCTTTTAGAATTTTTCTGAGTTTTTAACTCATCATCAATGCTCTAATTAAGTTCCAATAAGCTAGATTCCTCATTACCACAATCTTCCCTTTAGAATTGACTTCTGGAGGTGAAATTACTAAATCAAAAG